AGATTTAACAACCAAATTCAAGAGTATAGCTGGTCAGACTTCACGGCACAAACCATCAAATTACAAAGAGCATGGGGGGAAATAATTCAAGCTTTGAAAGATAATAACCTCCAGCCAAGACTGATATATCCTGCACAACTGTCCCTAGAAATTGATGGAAAAACAAGGTGCTCCCAGGATAAAGAGGAACTAGGGGAATTTGCAACCACCAATTCAACTTTACAGAGAATACTGCAGGATATTCTAAAAAAGGAAAATACCAAGATTCCAGAAATAGTGGCAGAGAGGCCACAATGAATGGAGCAGAAAGCAAAATGAAGAAGACAAACTGACAACAAACGACAGAAAAAGAGCTCAACAGAAATGAGGCAGAGAAGATCGGAAGGTAGGAACAGCTGTTTTGGAGAAAACAAGACATCATAATAGCTAGTGCTGATTTAGTATCATCTTGTTTTGAGGTCCCATCAAACTTGTATTCTTCTGTCTCCATCGGTCTTAAAAGATTGTATCTTATTGGATTTTATTATATATGATAATATAAGTAAAAACTTTTATAGACAAGGAGATTATACAAAACCATTGTTCATTTTCTGTTAATTGGTTCTAAATACCCCGTAATACTGTCATTCTCTTGAATGGTTTTATAGTGTCTTGATATGTTTGGTGCTACAGTATACGAAGTTATACTCAAAGACTTCAAGGAAAGAGACACCATGGTAACTACTTTTATGTCAGGATATCTTGTGGTGAAACACTATTTTGCTCAAATGGCTATCATTTGACCTGCGCTGTTCTGTTGTTATACCCTCTTTTATCTCAATCCCCTTTTTTAAAATTATTTACTTTTTTCTTTTTATCTTTTTAATTAAGGGAAAAATAAATTAAAAAATAGCAGGATATATTATAGTAATCTCCTTTGATTTCCTATTAACTTGATTTGAAATCCTGTATTGCCCTCACCATCTTGTTTTGACTGATTTTCCCCTATTCTGCTTTGCTTGATAGTACCAAGTTTGAAAGTATAGGCAAAACTGTGAAGACAGTAAGATTCATTATGACACCCATTCTGGCTGACTATTATCTGCTTTTAAAGTCCTGTAATGTCTCCAATGCTTTGGTTTTATTCTTTACTGTTTTGTTCAATTTTATTATAACTGGCAATTCTTCTTAAAATAGCAAGAGGCAGTATGGTAACCATTGTTGATCACCTTGTATTTTGTTTTTACATTATCTATTATGTCCATCCTTTTGATTTGACTGACTCTGTTCTGATATGTCACATTTGGTTTTACTCTCTTCAAAAAAAGTAATAAGAACTGTGGGAGTAATAAAACCCAAAATGTGTAATTGTCATTGTACAAAAGAAAAGAAAAGAAAGTGCTCTAAAGGTTATAACTGCATATATGTTTAAGTGTATAAGATAGATAACCATATTACTGAGGTTTTTTTGGATCATTGAACAAAACTGTTTGCACTCTCACTGTTTGAAAGTCCACTTTATATGCTTCAATTTTGTAACTTGAACAACTATTTCTAAAATGAGAATATGTAATCTATTAACTAGTGATTTCCTACTGTTTATTTTTTAAATTTTGTATTACTTGTACCCTTTTTCTTTTTTCCTTAAATAAAAAAAAAAGAGTATAGCTGGTGTTATACTGGCTTTAATGTTCCCCTAAAGCCTCCTGTGGTCATGGGGGGCGGGCCTTGTGAAGGCAGCTGAGTCTAGTGTTTTTGGTTGGTTCATTGCCTAGTGCTGGGAGTGACCGTGTGAGCGCTGCACCCATCGGGGGCAGGTAGCCAGCATACAACGTAGGGGAGGGAAGGAGCCATGTGCTTCTGTTTTTACCCTTTAGCTCTTGTATCTTGTGGCTTCCATCAACAGCTGTCCCTGAGCCACACCACCCTGCCTTGGAGCCGACTGAGTATGGACTAAAACTTCCAAAAATTGTAAGCTAAATAAACCTTTCCTTCCTTAATTTTGGATGTCAGGTATTTTGTCCCAGCAACAAGAAAAAAGGAAGAGACAGCTAGGCAAAAAGTCAACACTCAAAAATCAGTAACTTTCCTGTAAACAAATAATAGACTCACTGAGAGGGAAATTAGACCTTTCACAACAGCATCCCCAAAAATGAAACATCTAGGAATTAATCTAACAAAGAAAATGAAAGATCTCTACATTGAAAACTACAGTACTCTGAAAAAGGAGATTGAAGAAGAAATCAGAAAACAAAGAGATCCATCGTTCTTGGGTAGGAAAAACCAATATAGTGTGAATGGCCATACTCCCAAAATTATTACACACATTTAATGCAATCTGGATCAAAATTCCAACAGCATAATGTCACAGAATTAAAGAAATAATCCTAAAATTCATTTGGAACCAGAAAACACTTAGAATAGCAAAGGCAGTTCTGGGCAACAAAAGCAAGACAATCCAATCCCTGACTTGAAACTGCTACAGAGCTACTGTGATAAAAACAGCTTAGAACTGGCAAAAAAAATCCAAGAATCATTGGAACAGATTAGAAGATGCAGAAACAACTCCAAACATACTCCATCACGCTATCTTGGAAAAAGGCACCAAACATTTTAACTGGGTGAAAGCCTCTTTAATGAATGGCGCTGGAAAAACTGGCTTTCCACATGTTAAACATTAAAACTAGACTCATGTATTTCACCATGCACTAAACAAAAATCAAAATGAATCAAAAATCTAAATATTAAAACAGAAACACTACATCTGCTGGAAGATAGAATAGGTAAAACTCTTAAAGACGTTGGTGTAGGCAAAGTCTTTATGAACAAAACCCCAATTGCACAGAACTATCACAAAAAATCAACAACTGGGATCTCATCTTATTAAAATGTTTTTTGCACAGAAACAGAAAGCATCAACAGAGTAAATAAGCAACCCACAGTGTGGGGGAAAGATTTACCAGCTGTCCCTTGAAGGACTACTATCTAGAATATAAAAAGAAATTTTAAAAATCAGACCACTCTAAATTTAAAAAACCCAATTCAAAACGGGGCATCTGAAATGAATAGACATATATGAGATAAAGAAATTTAAAAAGTAAATAAATACATGAAAAAATGTTCGACATCACTGGCCACTCAAGAGATGCAAATTAAAACAATGCTGAAACTCCATCTCACCCCAGAAAAAAATGGCTATTACGAAAAATCCAACCAATAACAAAATGCTGGCAGGGCTGCAGGGGAAAGGGAACCAGTGTCCACTGCTGGTCAGAGTGTAGACTGGTGCAACCATTCTGGAAAATCAATGTAGCAATTCCTCAAAAAACTAGGACCAGAGGTCCAATTGGACCCAGCTGTTCCCCTTCGTGGTATCTTTCCTAAAGAATTAAAAGCATCATGCAACAATGTTGTATGCACACCCATGTTCACAGTGGCACAGTGTGTGATAGCTAAACTCCATGAGCTACAACTGTGGTAATAGCTACAATCATGAATGGATAAAGAAGATGTGAGGTTTTTCATACAATCGAGTGCTATTCCACCATGAAGGATAAGTTTGAGCTATTTCTAGGTAATGGATGCAACTTGAGAATATACTCTTAAGTGAAATAAATGTGACACACATGTGTAAATAACGCATTGTTTCCTTGTGTACGAAACCAAAAGTGTAAATAAGGGCCAAAATGTATAAAATGTATTGTGAAATAGGAAGAAAATGTTCAGATGGGGAGGGGAGCTAAGGAAGAGGGAGGGGAAAGGAAGGAAGGGAAAAAGAATCAAAACACATCATGTACAGGTACAAATCCCCCTGGATGATTGTGACCGTTGTGTATACCTAAAATCTGTCAAAAAACTTAATTTAAAAAGAGCTCAAATCAATAACCTAACCTTCCACCTCAAAAAAACTCAAGAAGAGCAAACTAAACCAAAAGGAAATAGTAAAGATCATAGGAAAATGTCATGAAATAAGGAACAGAAAACCAAAAGGAAACTAAAATCAATGAGACCAAAAGCTGACTCCTTAAAAAAAAAAAAATCCAACGAAAGTCACAAAAGTCACTTTAGCTGGATTGACCAAGCAGGACTCAGATCACTAGAACCCAAAATGAAAGATGGAAAGCTACCACTAACCATGTGGAAATGAAAAAGAGTCACAAAGGAATACTATGAAGAAAATGTAAGGAATGGGGTGAGGCGGAGACCAGCCAAGACCACCAGGCTTGGGTAACGGGCAACAAAGCACGGAATTTATTGTGCCCAGGTGGGTGCAGGCAGACAGAGGGCAAAAAGGCCGTCTATAGGGCACAAAGAGAAGCAGGCTTTTTTATAGGGCTTGGAAGAAGGCAGGGCACATCAGAGGGGAAGCTCTTAGAAAACATTAGTGATCAAAGTCCTCTAGGGGTCTTGTGCCTCAGTGGGCAGTTCTTGAGGCCTCTGGTGCCAGTGTTTGAGTGTCTTCCGATGTCCCAGTGCTTAGAAGGTTCTGTGTTCCATCTTAGTGCTTTCACAACATCTTGTATTAGCCCAGGACAGGGGTACTGAGCTGAGCACAAAGCCTCTGCTGTCAGACAGGTGGAGCACTGGCTTCCCTGCCAGACTCATCACACCCTAAATTCCTCAGAAATACTAAACATTCATTAATTGGCTTATTTGAGAAAGGAGCAGAAAATTGACCCTAAGGTAAAGAACAGTTGAGCCAACACAAATAATGTTTAAATATCTATTTTAAAACAAATGCCATAGAGCCCTTCTGGAGAGTGGGCCACCTTCTGCCAGGCTTCCCACTGCTTCCAGAGACATGCTCCCAGGTCCAAACTGAAATGCATCTCATTGCCGACTGCCCATGCTTCGCTCTTAAGGGCCCCCAGAATCTCTAACAAAGCCTTCTAGTGCCTCTTACTGATGCATCCTGAGAACTCTTTCTCAGTGATGAGAGTCAGGGAACCTGCTACAAAAGGATGGGTTAAGTTCCTTATTCTGAACCCAGAACCACCAGAGATGATACAAGCTGGCCTTACCGCTCTGAGAGGGACTCTGTGGAGGGCAGTAGGCCAAGCCTGCTTGAAGGTAAGTTTATCCGGCGGCAGCTCCAGACAGAGGAACCAGGACTGCTGAGGGTAGCCTGGGAAGAAGGCAGGCTAGGAGGACAGTGTTCCCATAGACAGCCGAGGCCTCTTCAGCTAGAGAGAAAAGGGAGTCACTTTTATTAAGCACCTACTATATATCAGGTGTTTTGCTGTGGACTTTATAGGTTCTTAATTTCAGGTTGGATTGGGACCGAAACCTCTTTATCGTTTGCCCCAAAGACCTTGCTCTCCCTTAGAAAATAATGAGATCTGACCGGCCTCCAAGAAAAGGTGAAAGTTTTAAACCCACACTTAAGCATGAGCCCTAATACACTCAGCCGATCCGGGCCATGACCCTTCTAGGCAGTGACTTCTGGCCTGGGGGGCAGCTGGGAGTCACTGGAAAGCCGAAGATTATGGAAAAGCGAAGCCCTCGGCAGTAACCTTCTTTGGAGAGTGGCTCCAGTGCCCAGGCATCCCGAGAGGCAGCAAACTGAAAATGCCAGGAAGGTTTTGCTCTCCCCTCGCCCCTTCCTGTGCGGTCTCAGCTCCTTGCAATACCCACAACGGCCTCCAGGTGGCGGCTGGAACTCATCCGTGGCTGCCGCTTTGGCCTCAATGCGCCTGCGCCGCCTGGGTGACCAGGTGAAGCCAAGGGAAAGCGCAGGTGGTGTCCTAAGTGCCATGATCAGTCCCAGCCTCCCCCCCACCAGCAGCTCAGAGTCAGGCGACACGCGTGTGTGCGCAGCCGGTGGCAGCCTCCCTCGTGTCCTTAAACTTATTTCTCTTTCTTGTAGTACCCATTGTTCGTCTCTGAAATAAATCTGGGAGTGAATTTATCCAGCTCAGCTTTCTGGCACCATCAGTTTACTTTCTAGATGTCTTTTGCACCCGTCCCCTTTTTAAATCGCCTTCATCCTGACCATCTCTGGCATGGACCACTGCACAGCCCCCGCCGGCTCTCTCGGCCCTCCAGTGCCTCCTCCCTGAGCACCACTGCTTTTTTGGCAAGGTAAAGCTTCTTGCAAAACCCCCGGCTTGAGTCCCTCTAGCTGTCCGTATGGAATCGGCTTAAGCAAATTTGAGCGATGGGTGATTTATGTAAGTACGAAGAATGGCAGAGCCATAGAATTGTCATCTCTTCTGCAAGTGAAAATTTTAGAGTCAGGATAACAACCTAATTTATATGAAAATGAACAGACATGAAGTAAAATGCAAAAATCACATGATTTTAAAGTTAAGACTTTTAAAGATAGTTGCGACTCAAACCAGGATGCCCTCCACCCCTTCTACGCCTGAACCGCCCACTGTTTTTGGAGAAACCTTGAGAAACACTAACTGTTTGAGCACAGGTTTGAACTCCTTTACAAAGAAGTGGACAAACTCTTAACAGTCTGGCCCCACTAATCATTTGTGTTTCACCTTTGACTCTTTTAATACACTACCACACACACACACACACACACACACACTTCTCGTGGTCGGTATCAGTCACCGAAGCAACCACTTGTAACTGCGCCAGCCAGCGGTTCGGTTTTGTGGCTGAGCCTGTAGTGTGGGGATCTCATTCCCTTCCCCTCATCGTCAAAGCTCTAGGCTTTCTCCAAGACCAGCATGACTCAGTGGTAACTCCTCTGAGACTGTGTAGGGACGTCCACGCTCTCACCCACCCGGAATGGGCATGCTCTTCCTCTTTGGCACTAGGTGCATGCTTTGTTGGGGTCCCCTTTGTGTGACTAGGGGTGTTCACATGTCCCCAGGAGACGGCCTCATGCTCAGGGCTGGACCTTATGCTGTATTCTCAGCACCTTGCACAGGGCTGCAGACATCAAAAAGAGTAGAAAACAGTCTGACATCCCATGCTTCTCTCAGGATGACTGGGGAAGCCGGAGAGAATGAGCTGGAGAATGAAGGGAATCCAGGAGACGGGTTGACCCTGACCAGTGTGGGGTTTGCGCTTAGGCGGGGGTTTCCAGGAGTGCCCTTGGCCTGGCTATGGGGAGGAGGCTGAGAGGTGCTGCAAGCTGGTAATTGCTACCAACTCTGTTCATTATTCGTTGGAAACTTGCTAAAAGCAGAAGCAGCACTAAAATAGGACCGAGTACTACAATACAGGAAACCCTTGGCATGGTTTTGAACATTTACAAGGAACGCATGTAAGCATGTAATTTAGCAAAGAAATGGATTTTAATGACATGGCTTGAAGTGGCTGAGTCCTTACTTACAAAGTGCATCGGCCCTCTGCCCTATTGGAATCCCATAAGCACCAGGCTCAATACTTCCTGGCTACATGACTTTGGCCTTGACTTTCCTCATCTGTAGTTATGACGGTTAAATGAGATAATGTATGAAAATGCTTAGCAATGTCTGATGGACTGTCAGTACTCCACATATGCTACCAATAATAACCAAAACCCCATTAGTCAGTCCCCCAATTATACTTTATAAATTGATAAAAGGTCTTAAAATGGCTCTCCTGTGAACAGTAATAACCTACTGTATCCAGACTGACCAGCAGCTCTAGCTCGGAGGCTTAGACTGCAAGATGTTATCCTGCTTTCTATGAAGAATCATGAGCAGGCGTGTGATGAAGACCTGGGGTAATGTGGATGAGCCTGAGCCAGTGTCGGGCCCCAAAATTATCTCCTCTTCCTTCCCAGCTTTTGTATCCGCATCAACTGCTCCTGCTGCTTGGCAGATACAAGCTGTATTTCTCTTCTTAGTGATCACACACGCAGACTCAGAGACCAGTCTGTACAAAGATGGCGGACAGCAGCATGAAGAGCAGGAGGTGGAAGTCAGGCCTGAATGCAGATGCTATGTCTCCCACTTACTGACTCTACAGCGAGCTACTTACTTACCTCAGTTTCTCCATCTGTAAAGTGGGATTGTAATAAAAATATCTCAGAGGATTAATACAAGGATGAAATGAGACCATGTTAATCAGGTGGTTAGGAGGACTCTTGCTGTACTGTGAGCATTCAACAGATGGCAGCAGCTAGGTGGGCTGGGGTATAGCTCAGGGGCCCAGCACTTGCCTGGCGAGCACAAGGTCCTGAGTTTGGTTCCTGGTACCAAAAAAATAAAATAAAAATAAATGGTAGCAGCTATTTTTATTTTAAAATGAAGTGTTAATTCTTGAGAGAGTAGGCTTTGAACTATGAATACGAGCCAACACTAAAATTCAAACTTATTTCAAGGCCTTTTATACTTTCTATACTTCAATTATTTATTAGTATGTCTTTTCCCTAACTCTCCTTTAAATACAGGACTGTCCACTGATTGATTGATTAATTGATATGGTATGAAAATTGCACCCAGGGAGGTCAGAACTATGCTCCTTTTTTACATTTTATTTCAAGCCACCTTCCTGCCTCTGCCTTCCAAATAGCTGAGATTATAGGTGCATACCACTGTGCCCAGTTTCTTGATTCAATTTTGTAGAATCTGTAGGCATGGATTTTTTTGCTGGTTTTGGTGTTTGAGAAAGGGTCTTGCTATGTAGTTCAGGGGGGGCTTAAACCCACTGGGTAGCCCAGCCTGGTGATCCTCCTCCCTCAGCCTGCAGAGTGCTGAGACCGCAGGTGTGCACCGCCACACCCCGCATGCAGGCATGTATTAAATGGAAGGTGGAGTCTGGAGGAACCTCGGAAAATGTCAAGAGGAAGGAGCCAAAGGCGGTCTCTGGCACCTGCCTGCACAAAGCAAGTCCAGGAAATGCAGGCGTGGAGGAGTCTGGAAGTCGCAGACCTAAGGTTTCTGAAGTGACAGGAACTAAAGTAAAGAAACAAATCAATGAGGCTATAGAAGAAATCAGACCAGGAATAATATCTCAGGTAAAAGAAGAAATGAAAAACATAAGGCACCTTGAGCCTATCCTCATAAGTGAAATAATCCATAGGCATTATTTGGGACATACTTATACTAAAAGTTTGTTTTTATATGAAATTTAAATTTCAGCGAGCACCTTGCTTTTTTATTTGCAAAATCTAGCAACCTTATTCTACCTTGGAAAGTACAACGTCCTTAATTGAGCACACGGATGTGAGGTGCTGATGGAACAGAGGCCCCGAGCTCCCTAGAGAATAATGGAGAGCGGGGAGAAGTGGAGAGGACGGAGGTACAGATTCAGTTCTGGGATTTGATGAGGTCACTCAGGAAGAGAGAAGGGAAGAGAGATGGGAACTCGGAACCAGCAAGGGAAAGAGGAGGAATGAAAATAGAAGATCAAAACAGCAGGAGATGACAGCAAAGCACAAGCAACAACAGGAAAAATGAGCAGCTACGTGAAAACTTAAAAATTGGCTGCATCTAAAGACAACATCAGCTGGATGTGGTGGTACGTGCCTTTGTAATCCAAGCACTTTGGGAGGCTGAGGTAAAAGGATCACAGGTTCAAGTCCCACCTGAACAACTTAGGGGGACTTTGTCTCAAAATACATAATAAAAAAGAATCAAAGGGACACCAGTGATGTAGTTTAGGTATAGAGTACCCTTCAGGCTGATTTCCAGTAACACAGACAGACAGACAGACACACACACACACACACCCCATATCATCAAAGTAAAAATTCAACCTGAGGGAGAGGACAAAATGTATGCATCTGTCTAACAAGAGATTAACACCCAGAACATACAGAGAATTCCTAAAAGTCTACAACAACAAAAACAAAACAAAACCATGGAGCTGAACTGGAATTTCAGAAAGAGGAAGGGTATAAAATAAACTGAGTCTAAATTTTTTTTTGTCTTTACAGAGTCAAGATACTCTATAGTTGCAGTTAGGAACAGTCTCAGTTTTCCAACTCTGTGGCTAGGAACAAATGTTAACTGTGGGGTCTGGGGATATAGTTCAGTGGTACAGCACCTGCCTGAAAATGGTGAGGTCCTGAGTTCAGTTCCAGGTTAAAAAAAAAAAAAAAAACTCCCAGCTGTAGATTTATTATGACCTAAAACTATCTTTTTTTTTTTTTAAGGATAGACATAGCACATGATGTAAACACATAATACAAGGTGATCAACAATGGTTACCATAATGCCTCTTGCTTCCTTAAAAAGAATTGCCTATAATGTTAGATATAATAAAATTGAACAAAACAGTACAGAACAAGACCAATAAAACCTAAACATTGGAAACATTACAGGACTTCCAAAGAAGATAATAGTCAAAGCAGAATGGGCATCATAGTGAATCTTATTGCTTTCAAAGTAGTTGCCTATACCATCAAACTTGATGCTATCAAACAGAACGGAACAGAGTCTAATCAGTCAAAACAAGATAGTGGGAGCAATACAGGGCTTCAAATCAAGTTAATAGGAAATCAAAAAAGTTACTATAGTATATCTTGCTAATTTTTTTGATTTTTTCTCTTAATTAAAAAAATAAAAAATAAATTTTTTTTATGAAAAAGGAGGAGATTGAAATAAAAGAGGACATATAACAACATAACAATACAGGTCAAAGTATGACAATTTCAGCAACCTAGTGCTTCACCACAAGATAACCCGACTTAATAGTAGTTACCATAGTGTCTCTTTCCTTGAAATATTTGAGTATAACTTCGTATACTATAGCATCAAATATATCAAGACAGTGTGAAACCATTCAAGTGGATGAAAGTATTACAGCGTATTTAGAACCAACTAACGGAAAACAAACAATGGTTTCTATGTTATCTCTTTGCCTATAAAAATTTTTGTTTATATTATCATATATAATAAAATCCAGTAAGATATAACATGATAAAACCAGTGCAGACAGAAGAGCAACAGTTTGGTGGGCCTTCAAAACAAGATGGTATTAAATCAGCACTAGCTATTATGATGTCTTGTTTTCTTCAAAATAACTGTTCATTTCGTCACAGGCAATAATATCAAACAGCCCAGAATAAAGCCATTCCAATTAATGAGTGAAGACTTTATAAGGCTTCAAAGCCACATAATGGGGAATCATGATTACCACATACTTTTATATATTTGAATCATTTCTTACAATAGGAAAACTATTCAGTATTCATACATGTGAGTTTGATTTATTTCACTTATGAATATGGTCTCAAGCTGCATCCATTTACTTATAAATATCTCAATGTGATCCTTCTTTATAGCTGAGTAGTACCCCATTGTATAAAAACACCACAACTTTCTTATTCATTCCTCAGTTTATGGACACTTGGGTTGTTTCCAAGATCTGGCAATTACAAACCATCTTCTAAAAAGTGCTTTGATGAGAGAGGTGGCCATTGATTAGGTATGCTGTATGTTTTTCTCTTTTCCTTGCTGTCTCTTGCAGTACCGGGAATCAAACTCACAACCTCACACTTGACACCACTGGGCCTAATCCCTGGTCGTCTGTTTGTTTTTCCCTGAGAAAATGGACTCATTTTGTGCTTTGTCATGCATAGTCCTGGATCAGAATCCGGAAACTGAGCAGGGAGGTTTGGCGTTTGGTGCCAGCCAATGGATTCTTATTTTTGGGTTACTTGAAGAGAATGTAGCATCTTTGGCAGATCAACAAGTCCAGTAGAACTCAGTGATGCTCACCAAGAAGGCTTGATGGGAGCTAGTTTCAGGAATGATAGAAGGAATGATATGCTGCGAAGAGTTTAGATTAATTACAGAGGAATAGGAGGCAGGGAGGCCAGTACCCAGGGAATAAACCCACCTTAGAGGAAACATCTGGGATGGAGGAGAAGACAAAAATAGGTGAGCAGGACATAACAACCGGTGAGAATTCAGGACACAGAGAATGCCAAAACTCCTGACTAATAGAGTTCTGGCATTAAGATCAAGAGCTAAAGGCCTGAAAGATTTATAATACCAGCAATGCTTAAAGACAAAATACGTGTGTAGAGAATAAGGAAGATGTTGGCTGAGGGTCTGAGGCAGTTAGGTCAGAGAATGTGAGGAGGAATGAAATCTTGGTCTTCACCCGATTCAGTGACATCAGCACTTACCAAGCTCTATCTACTGTGAGTCACATTCTGCGCTACATGGTAGAGCTAGATGCTGACATACTGGTGAGTAAGAACTCCTGCCACTGGGGACCCAGCTGACTGGGGAGACAGACTCGTAAACAAAGGACAGTGTTGTAGGATGAGTGCAACAGAGCAAGTATGTGCAAGAGGGTGCAAAGATGATCTCAAGACATTTGTGGGAGTCGGGGCTGAGGCAGGCAGATCCAGGAGCCACTGGCAGGAAGAGACCCAGGGTGCAAATTCCTAACAGCCATGGCCTGCAGTGGTGTGAATCTATGATCTGTTCGTCCTGACAGGGCCTGTTGTCCCTACTTCACGCCACATCCGAGCACTGAGTTTTAATTGCGACGTTGACATTTTGCAATACATAAGTGGGTTTTAGGTTGCGGTTTGGGCACTCAGTCTCTAAAAGGTTTGCTGTCACTAGCTGTGGGCATATTGGAGCACTCGGCAGAGCTGTGAGGGCAAGGATCGCAGGTGTGCAAGACAGGCATGGAAAGAGGCAGGATGACAAAAGGAGAAGACCCATAAAAGCGGCCTGGATAGGGCAGTATAGGCAGGTCAAGGAGGGCAGTTAGGTATGAGGAAGCAGAATCCGTAACAGCAGGCCAGAGGAAGAAACAAAGGTTACCTACCGACGAACGCACTGGGAAGGGGGACACTACGGCTGGTAAAAATCCGAGTGACATGTGCGTAGACACTTCTGTTAAGGTCAATTTAGGGAGAAAGTGCGGGTTTTCTGGTAGGAGACGAAAAAGATGTAACACAGGTAAAGAAAATTGCTTCTGGTGATTCGAGTAACAGGCTGTGATTGGAAGCCACAACGCAAGAGGGACCGTCAAACGCGGCCTCAGCTCTCCCGTGTTGCTGGAAGAAATAAAAGTCTTCACTTTTACCTTTGCAGAAAGAGCGAGACCCGTCACCCGGCTACGCGCCGGAATCAGAAGCGCACGCTCCTTCCTGCCGTGACTAGACAGGTTGGAAGAACTGTTGTCCTGTTGCCGAGCAAAAAGGGGCTGTTTCCAGTTGCCATGGTGACAAAGTAAGAGCCTTCTCTGCGTACTGCCACAAATTTACGAGGCCGTTTCTTCGCCTCGTTGCCATGGCGACCTAGCGGGACTGTTTCCCGCCGCCCGCCCCTCCCGCCGCGGTCGCCCAGACGAGGTGGAGGTAGGGGTTGTCCTCCGCTCGCCGCCCCGTCGCCTTGGAGACGGCTGGTGCTCTGGCCCCGCCCCTCCGGACTGACAGCCGGGCCGCAGCGCGCCTGCGCAGTGCTCTCTTCCCCCGCAGTCTCTGTGCGTTGACGCCGGAGACCGCGGCGGCCTCTGCTAGGACCCTCCGCCCGGGAGCCGCCGGCCGGAGCCGCAGCCTCGCCGCAGCGCCCCCGCCGCCCGTCCCTCCCCCTGCCGCCTCCGCCGGAGCCGCCTCGCGCACTGTGAGTCCGGGCCGAGGCGAGGGACGCCGCGGGGCTGAGTCAGCGGGAGGCCCGGGCCCGGGCGGGGGGAGGGGAGCGGTTCCCCCTCGCGCGCCCCCGCCCCCGCCCCCGGCCGCGCCCCCAGCCGGCCGCGGGCCTCCATCCCTCTCCCGGGGCTCCCCGCGGCCTCCGCGGCCGGGCTCCCCACCACTCCTCCCTTCCTCCCGTGCCTCCCCGGCCTCCCTCCGGACCCACCTTGGGGTCCTCGCTCCTGGACGTGGCGCTGCCGCACCTCTGCCCGGGCCTGCCGCTCTCCGCTGCGCTACCTTCCGCGCGTCCTTGGCCCTGCTCCCTGCTCCCTTCCTATTCCGGGCCTGGCGTCCTGGCCTCTCCGGTTTCCCCAGTGATAAGCCAGAGCAAGAGTGACACGGCAGAGAGCGAGCAGAGCCCAGGGGAGCGGAGACGTTCCGCCCGTCCAAACCCGGGACCCCAAGGTTCTTTCCCACACGTTCCCGCCCTGGCTGCTTTGGGAAACAGGTCTGGACAGTGCAGACCGACTGCTGAGACCCTGTGGGGCTTTCGAAATCGGTTTTGCTGAGCAGAGTCCAGCCTGTTCGCGTCAGCTGCTGCTTAGTGGACACCACCAGTGCATGGTGGCCTTTTAGTGGGCGAGCGACTCCCTGGCCATGCGCGAGGGGCGGAAAGGTCGTGAAGGGAGGAGAGAAGAGGTTGAGTTTGGTGCTTCCAGTGTGTTGTGAATGAGCATCTTGCGGTACTCTCAAATGCATTTTTGTCTTTAATAACATTACAACCGTGGTCAAACGTGAGGTTTGAAAATAGAGCTGATAATCACCTATAACAAATGCTTACTATTTGTACAGTGAGGCATACTGGCCAGATTTGATTTTGGATCCTTATATATTTCATGAAATATCCAAATAGTGGGAAATGGTGAGCCTGGGCATTGTAGGGACAGAAGAGAGAGGAAAGAGGGTTGAGGTTTGTCCGTGGAGTAGGTCCGAGGCTGGTAGTCCCAGTGGGGAGGGGCCGTGTCCGGGCAGGGGTTTGAGCATGTGTGCAGTTTCCTTGGTTATGCCTGCTGCCCGTCCACTTGCCCAGCTTGCTGTCCATGGTCTTGGGATAAAGGAAGGAGCCAGACTATTTTCTTTTTCCAGCAGAAACTAAGCACAAGTCAGAGTTGGTCCTCACAGTCAGTGCTCCTAGTAGACGGCTCCTCAACTCGAGGGCTCCTAGCTAGTGTGCAAACGTCATTATCTTCTCTCTCTATCTATCTATCTTCCAGATATCAGTATACTGTTAGAAAATATGTATTAATTATGAGATTCTTCTTCTTCTTCTTCTTCTTCTTCTTCTTCTTCTTCTTCTTCTTCTTTTCCTTCTCCTTTTCTTCACTGCAAAGAAGTGGATTGTCCATTTTTAAAAAATCATGGGGAAAGAGCCAGTCATTTGGAGCTTCTAGGGTTGCAAACAGGGAGAAATAACGATTTTGCTCCCTGACTTTGCTCAATCATGGCCTATTGGCAGGCTCCTCAGAGCCACACCCCGCCCCCATGCCCATCAGATTAGTTTACAGTAGCAGAGACGGCTGTCGCCCCAGTTTTAAACATAGAGATGAAGTTCGGGAACACTGCAGCCCCCATCCAGCAGGGCAGTTTCTTCTGTTTGGAATGCCAGTCTGGGGTTTGGCGGGATGCACCTGCCTGTAGCGCAGTGGGAACTGTGGGGCCTGAGAGTTGCATTCCTTCTTGTGGTCCTCTATCGCATAGCTCACCGAAATACCCGAGGAGGGCAGGAGAAGACAGCTGTGCTGGAGAGCTGCTCCTCCTGGGCTGAGTGTATTTTGGGAACCAGTGATATTACTGGGGTGGAGGGTTGTGAATTAAGCAAGAAAATGTGTCAAGGCTAGATGGATCAGGAGGGTGTGAGTAAAATGTTCCCTTTCTAGTGTGCTGAGGAGACAGTACATTTTCAGAGCACCGGAGTGTTTTTATATGGGTTGATTTGCCTTTGAAACCCACAGCAGTGTTTTATGAGATGGTGATGGAATGCTTTTTAAGCTGCTCCTGTGAGGAAGCAGTGCCAGTACCTTTTATGCATTGCTTATCCAGCTGTTACTGAGGTAGTCGTTCCAGAAAGGGACAGGGACATGATTTGAACCGAGTTAGACCTAAACCCGTGTGATGGATGTCATGGATTTGTAGGACTGTATTTCCTTGGCTCTAAGACACACTAGAAATTTATCAACAACTTTTAGGCAGAATAATTTAATGTAGAAAAAAATACGTATGTGGTTTCCAACATCCCAATTTCAGAAGCATTAAAAGTGGCAAGACTTGAAGGAAGTGTTCATGTGTTTTAGAATTAAGAACCAGTGTTGGTAATCTTGCCATGTGCTGGTGTTAGGACTGGCTGGCCTTCCGGGGAGTGCGCATGCTCTAAAGCTGGGCTTTTTCCAGCCCTTCCTCCCGGCAGCCCGCTTTGTGGGGCTGTGTTTGAAAGGTAATGTGTGAGAATTGGGACTGGTAGTGCTGATGAAATGGGTAAGTCCCCATGTGGGACTCTAACCCGGGGCTGCGCTCTAGCACCCTCCAGAGCCTGAGCAAGCGTTTGGTAGCAAACATCTCATACACTGTGCCTGAATTGAGTCAAGTGACATTGTTCAAAAGCTGAACAGAAAATGTAGTTTTTCTGATCAGAGTGCATCTGGCCTGATTTGTTTAGAGATATGTTTGTAAAGCACTAAAGCACATGTCTTCTTCCCTAAGGATGTTAGAAATGGAGGGGCCTCAGATAGTGTAATTTAACGTCCTCCTTCCCAGATTTTGGCATGGGACACCAAAAGTTAAATGACTTGCTCCAGGGTCACCCAGCTAATGTAGAAAATATGTAAGAACACTTTGCCAGCTGTGTACACTGGGCAGATTATTGGTGGTTATTAATGTTTGAGTCAGGAGAAGAACCCAAGTTGCCAGACCTGAGCTATTAGACAGCACCGTCCTGCTTCATTCCTCGTGTTTAATAGTTCAGAGGATTTCAATAAAAAATAATGGACTAGTCTTTAATTAACCCTGTAGATGAGGGCTTGTGTTATCATCTGAGATGTTGCTAAGACAGGAAAATTTAGTGTCAAACTGTCTCATTAAGGGCTGGGGATTTAGGTCAGCGGCATAACCGCCTGCCTGGCAAGCACAAGGTTGTGAGTTTGATCCCAGTATAAAAAAAAAAACAAAAACCCTGTCTCATTAAATATTTATTCTTGCCACCTTAAAAATAATGATTTTTCCTCAGAGATTTTGACTTCAGGCAGGTTTTTCTTTCTTAAGCTTGCATTAACTAACACAAAGCAAATGCAAAGTTGGATATTTGAAGTTTCCTCAACTTCTAATCAGTGAGGCAGCTGCCTAGTTCTAGAAAGTAGGATGGAAGGGGCAGAAATGAGGATCAGCTTGTTGGATGACTTCAGGGTTCTCCTCTAGCTTTTATCTTTATTTTTGGTACTGGAGAGCAAACTCACAAACTTGCGCATGCCAGGCTTGTGGGTGCTTGTGCCCCTGAGCTAAATCCCCAGCTCCTCTTCCTGCTTTTAAATCTGACCTTTTGAGGTTCCTATGAGCCCCTAAGCCCTATTGTTGGCACACTGAGGCAGTCTAGCCTCTGGAAGCAGACAGATCTAAGTTCAAATCCCAGTCCTGCGACTTCTGGATGTGTGACATTGGGCAGGTTACATAACCTTGGAGTACCTGTTCCCTCATCTGTGTGCATGCAATAATCGCCATCTGTTTTACAGGTTACTGGAAAGATTAAATCAATGAAAGTATGTAGAGTATCTGCTTAATAAGAGATGGCTATCACTATTTTATATTTGCAGATACCCAAAATTTTAAAAAAGTAGTACTTTCAAATTTTATCATGACTTAAGTCCACGCTGGGCCTGCAGTTCATAACCCCACCCCTTGGGCACCCTCTCAGTACATTGACGTGCACGGAGACAAGATTTGTCCTGTAAATACCTGGCACTTACAGTATTATTTCCACTGCTAAAATCAGAACAGAGCATGTGTGAAATGCCCCTTTGTCTCCATGTATTCAGCTGACCTCGTTATCGGAAAGAATGGCTCGGCTCGAGCAGTCAACTCAAGCAGAGCAGAGACCTGGTGTTTGTGTGTCGTGGTGCTGGTTAGTCCTGCGATCTGGGGAGCGATCTGTCTGTCAAGTGGAAGAGCCTCGGAGCACTTGCCTGTGAGTAAGGCTCACATGGCTTTCACTCACTTCCTCCAGAGTTAGAAGCATAGTGTGGATTGGTGACGTTGCTTCTCTCCTCCTGCACCCTAAGACACAGAGCACCAGGGAAGAAGGGAAATCTCGCTAGTGAGGAGGGCCTCACTTTAGATGGGCAGAGTTACAGACGGGCTCAAGACAGAGACTAGTGGGTGACCAAGGCGTGGGGGCAAGCATTAGGTGGGAGAATACGTTCATTTAAAATCCCTAGCTGGATTTGATTAGGGAAGAAAATGCCCACATATCAGCAGTTAAAGATTGAAAAGATAAATGCAATAGTGTTTACTTCTGGGAAATGGGCCGTGGGTGTGGGGCAGGTAGGAGATTCAAGGGAACATTTACTTTATATGCTTCAGTATTGTACTTATTATAAGAAGCATACGTGCTTTGTAATTTAGTGAAGACCAAATAGAGTTGGTAGTGGCGATGATCATAAATATGTACTGATGCAAAAGAGGCAGTTGTCTTTATGTGGACCCTCCATTACCTGGGGCAGGCAGGGTTAGATTGCTTCAGACCAAGTCAGTTTCCACCAAACCAGGCTCTTAAGTGAAGATAAGATACTCTGAAGTGGCTGCCAGACAACTTACTGGACAACCACTTTACCTCTCTTCCTAGTCTTTTTTTTTTTTTTTTTTTTTTTTGTCTTTTTCATTGGTACCGGGGATTAAACTCAGGACCATGCACTTGCAAGGCAGGCGCTTATGCCGCTGAGCTAAAGCCGCAGCCCCTCTTCCTAGTCTGTCTGTTCACTTTTTGAGAATAGCTTCCTCCTTTTCATGACCAGCTGAAGCAGTCCTTACTTTTCTAATAAATTCAGTATTCAGCTTTTGAAAAAAATGGCATATGACCTTTATGAACAATCTGTGCTCTCCCATCAGGAGAGTTTGGTGTTTAAGGGGCCCCCAGCTGAAGGACTGGTGCAGTCCGTTAGGGCGGCTGTGGTCTAGCTCAGTCCTGGCTGATGCAGCACACCTTTCCCCTAGTGACTTATTTGCACTTCTGTTGGGAAATACTGATAAACTGTGATGAAATCAATAAGTACTATTGAGTTTTTAATTTTGTCAGCTGCATTTTCTAGCTAGTATCTTGTATATATTACGGAAAGTTGACGAACCTATCATTTAGACACATGCTTTGGATACTTGCTTGGGGGTTAGGATGGATTTTGCAGAGTAATTCCCTTCCCATCACGAGGTCTTCCCTTTGGCTGAGAGTACAAATTGTGTGACAGGTGGCCAATACTGGT